AATATATATATATATATATATATATATATATATATATATATATATATCGATTCATACATTTACTACTTGATTGTCCGTCACTAAATATTTAACTTTCTTGATTCAATATACTATAAAACTTGGTTGGATAAAATATTCATGAAATCCAATATCAATTAATTTTGGATACATTGCACAGAAATTCTAATTTTTAAATACTTAAAAAATAGTTTAAGAATAACTGAACAATAATGTTTTTATGTATGGGATATCCATGCCTCAGTCACTCAGTCACCTTGAATTTTCTTTGTCTTATGAAGGTTAATTGGCATGTCCAAGCTCAAGTACTCTAGAAATCAAGAATTTCTGTAAATTTTCATTGTCTTCGCACCACCCGTTTGCCTAACACTCATGAATCTAGCTCAAATTTTCAGAAACTTATCTTGCATATAAATAAGCTAATTTGAATGAGTGCAGAACGATCCTGTTTGTTTTTTCAAGTACCTTCCGAATGAAAATGCTTCAGTATCCCAGTGGCGTTTAATAAGACATTTTTTGATTTTTGATTTTCTAAATTCAATTTTTGGGTAAGGGCCAATCTATCACGGATGTTGTTCAGTAATATTATAGTAATATTATAGTGCTATATAGAAATGGTGGCTGATTCGGCATGAAATCTCCCATATGCATTCCATTAACTACACTTATGTCAATTAACACACTTCAAAATTTAGTCATTATTTGGAATACGCGTGTGACTTGATGATTCTTTGGAGTAGTGCTAAACTAGGATATATGTATGCATATAAATTCAACACAGTTTTTAACTTCCCGACCCGAAGGGAGGAAGTTATTGTAATAACCCCGAAAATCGAATGTGGAAATTTAAGCATTTCTCCACGTTTCATGACCTTTGGAACCACTTCTGACCCTTTTCAGGTACCTGTCTGTATGTGTGGATGTGTGTATGTGTGTGCGTACGTCTGTGACAAAAATTTTGTGCCACGATTCCTCCTGAACAAACGATGCGATTTGACTTTTTTTTTGTTTAATCGCTGTATTTTCATGTGACTTGAACCTGATTAGATTATGGAGATGATCGTCTCAGCGTTTCTCCAGTTTTTTCCAAAAAACATTTGGAAAAAAGTCGAAAATTAGCGTTTTTTTTGTAAACGAGGCCATTTCTCCGTGCATAACGATGCGATTTCAATTGTTTTTTGTTAGAAACGATGAATCTTGATATAACGCACAAATCATGGAATACTGGAAGACATTTAATCAGCAGTTCACTAGCTTTTTTCGAAATCGATATACATTCAAGAAACAATTTTACTTTTCTGATAAATTACATCTTTTCTCGATGCGGAATACGGCGATGTGTGTGCATGGGAGTGTGTGTGAGTACGAGCACACGCACGGATTTTCTTGTCTTCTATGGGTATTTCCTCGGAGAAATGTGAGAAAAAGATTGAATAAATACATAATAAAAAAATTAATGAAAGAAAAAACAAATGGTCGGGAAGTTATTGGTGCGACCCGTAATGGGTCACATCCAATTCCACCAACCCCTACCGNAAGAGGGAGCGCGCGAAGCGCGCGACCGGGCCTGATTTTTGTTTTTTTTTTTAATCGTGGATATAATTTTTAGAATCACAATCTATTAAAGCTGAAGATAAGATGTAGGATCTTGATATTCATATCCCTCGTGTCTTAAAGGATAACAATTATTGTTATCAGTCCACGATTGATACTGTTGGTACCGAATATCGAAAGGATCTGGCATCGTTGGCATCGGATTTTGTGAATACATTGAGAAGGTATTCCCACAATCTCGCGTAGAAGTCTCCCTAGATTCATCTATCGTAGAGGGCTCATGTGGAGCAGATTGTCTCTGCTGATAGGAGTTGGGAGTGATCGGTGAAGACGAGGTACTCCCAGATGTCCCACTTGTATATCCGGAAAGATTATCATTTGTGGCGTTCAGTCCATGTGGAGCAGATTGTCTCTGCTGATAGAAGTTGGGAGTGATCGGTGAAGACGAGGTACTCCTAGATTTCCCACTTGTATGTCCGGCAAGACTATCATTTGTGGAGTTCTGTCCATGTGGAGCAGATTGTCTCTGCTGATAGAAGTTGGGAATGATCGGTGAAGATGAGGTACTCCTAGATGTCCCACTTATATGTCCAGCAAGACTAACATTTGTGGCGTTCTGTCCATGTGGGGCAGATTGTCTCTGCTGATAGGAGTTGGGAGTGATCGGTGAAGACGAGGTACTCCTAGGTGTCCCACTTGTATGTCCGGCAAGACTATCATTTGTGGCGTTCTGTCCATTTGATGACGTAAAACCAGATGGTTTAGATATAGTGTTGCTGTTGTTTGAGTCAGTCTTCCAATTCTCATCTGAAGATTCATCAGATAGGCATACATCAATTGACATCTCTTCGCCAAGTTCGGGTGATTCCTTAATTGCTCTCTTCTGTTTGCCCGACGTCCCATCATTTTTTCTTAGGTTTTTGATCTTTGCTTCTTTCTTCTTACGGTTGGTATATATTCTGTTGACATGAGTAGTAAAGTCAGCATCACTCACAGCTGCTTTGTCTTGAATAAACTCTGGAAACAATTAGTATAAATTAATGAGTGAAATTAATGTTTCCCATCACCTAGGAATAGAATACAAAACAGTGTCTCTTACTTTGTACGGCTTTCCAAGTCTTCTTGGGTAGTTTCACGTTGCCTTTAGTCCCCCGATAGACATATATTCCAGAGTTTTATCGTACAGCTCAACAAATATGCTGGTAGTTAATTTTTTCCAATTCCCATTACACGCAAATTGCTTCGTTGCTAGAGTAAGGTGAGATTCATCGATATAAACACGAGTATCAGGATGTATTTCCACCTAGAATATGAGCAAACATAAAATCATCATAAGAATCTGATAATTAGCATGAAAATTTTCCAATGAACACTCATTTCATTCCGAATTATGATCCATTGAACTATTGCATTAGGGAAAGTCATATGGTATAAAAGTGAAGAGTCTTGTAGAAAGTTACCTTAGTAGCACCTGGTGTTCGAGCTTCTTTGTGTAACTGTAAAAAAAATAGATGATCTGTATTGTAAATAAATGAGTAATCTAGCGATTCTCAATATCACTTGATAAAAATTAATTTCGAGGGAAAACTCCCGGGAATGCATATCACCTGTTTCAATTCTTCCAGATTTTTCTTTGCTTTCATTGCGTCCATTGTTTTCAATATTTGGACGAAAGTTTCAGCGGTAGTTATCAGTTCAGGGGTTACTGGAACAATGTTTTTAATATTAGACACATTAATTATTTTTCCGTAGTCGAATATAATTAAGTATTATTAGAGAGCTATAGTAGAATTATTTACCATCAGGAATATGTGTAAACATGAAAATGGTGATACAGGGATTGTATCAGTAGTAGTTGAAGTTGGGTACTCTTCCATCGGAGTCTCTCCATCAGAGTAATCTGTTTCACCTAGGTTCTTATCTGTCAGTGTCTTCATTTTAGAATATGAGGCACAACCTTGTGATTGTCTCAACCCTTTTTGTTGATTTCTTGAACTCGATTCTATTGCTAGTGTTACTTGATGACTCCCTGACTTTCTCAGCCTCGATCGCTTCTTTGGAACACTTGCTTCATCATCACTCTCATCTGAATGGCTGCTGGAACTGTTATCAGTGACTTCATGACTTTTATGAGGCTCAGAAATTTCAATTGATCGTTTCCTTTGTTTTGATCCATGCCAATTAGTCTCAAAGAACGATGGCCGTAGGAGCAGCTGCTCTTCATACTGGTGATTAACTGCAGCCCGCTTTTTTTTCTCATCTCTCGAATTTGCATGCAATTCGGATCTTTTGTCCAATATCCGTTTCGCGAAAGCTTTCTGGTGTTAGTCACAGATTGTTCCAGTCTACGAATCTACGATAAAAGTATCCAAAAAAGCATGATCACCTGAAAAAATTGAAGATAATCACGTATATAATTTCAATCATTCTTGCTCGCCCCATGTGGAGTACGTTCATCGTTTCCAATGAATTCAGAAAAAAAGCAAGTGAAATAATTATTCATCAGTAAATATAACAATGCTAGTTATTATTTTTAGTAAATGTTCTATCAGACTATTATCATTTGATATATATGTCGATCGCTATTTTTAAAATATGTGCCATTGCAGGAAATTCATTCCTTCATTACTTGAAGTAGCTTTTGACGGGCTGTGTTATAGATTTGGATATTTTTAATTTTCCCATTAAATTGCATGGTAAAAAATACAAAAAATTCATTACCGACAAGTATTATTTAAGGTACATTTGGTAAAATATTGATATTTTTTTTGAACGTTCCCTTCTTATAAATTAATAATGAAATGTGTTTGCAAACCGGTCAATTATTTTCTGTGCGTCATCAAAAAATTTAGTGTTTTTTTTCTTCTCCGATGAAAACAAGTGAAATTTGAGCCTTTATTACAATGGAAATGTTGATTTTCTGATGGAACGCTCGGTTAAATTCAGATTTTGTAGAATTTTCCTTTTTTTTCACCCAAAATAGTAATTAAATTAAGAACAAAATTACGATTCCGAATATAGTCAATTGTTCTGGAAATTCTTTGCAGTTTTTAATAATTTCTCAATTTCTCAAAGGGTAGAGCTACTATAATTGAAGGAAAATTTTATGGAATAGCAATTGGTTCGTAATATTTTTTTCATAATAATTGTTTCAAAATTGAAGAAGGATTTTCTACCTTCCTGTGGGAGACGGAGAAAGATAGAAATAGAGGAAGAGGTAGATAAATAAACCGACCGGGGGAAAGGGAGTGAGAGAGAGTTAGGGTCGGCTGGTTATTTTTTTGTCTCTGTGCCTCTTCCACTATTCCTCCTAAGGAAGGAGAAAGAGAGGCTCTACCATAAACTTGGGACGTTCTGCGTCACTTCGAACCCTGGGAAATTCGAAAAAAAATCCGGCCAAATGTGTACATTGCAGTTTTATTACTTTAGACGGACCCCTTGAATGGGAAAAAATTTCTCGTCCCCTGAAAGGTGGGGGGGAACTTCATCTCTCCTTTTCTTTCTCCTTTTCATACCCTTCCAAAGATGAGTCTTTCTCTCACAACACTTTTGAAATTGACAGCTAAAAATTCAATGTAGGAATGAAAAAGGACAAATCCTAAGCCACAATTACGATCAACAATTTCCTCAATTATAGAACTTTAAATCACAAAAATTTAGATTTAAAAATATAGACTCTAGCGGGATTAATGAACAGATCCTTCGTTACTATATCTAGATGAAAATTTCGATGGTTCAATCATAATTAGGAAAAAAACTGACCATGAAATTTCAAAATTTTTGCATCCAAGTTGATGATTTTCCCGGTCTTATCGTCTTTCCATGGTAACTTCATCACAGTGTCCACTTGACGTTTTTTCTTTCTAAAAATCGTACTACTTTTCTCGATGGATTTTTCTCGGGTATCAATCCAGAAAACTAAATAAAACTTTCCCTTCATGTCTGTCATGTCGAAGATTACTTGTCAAAACGAAAAAATATGAATAATTCTTTCAAAGAGACACAGACACTTTCTTCGCGTGGCACCGTGTTGCACTATTCAAAGACTCAAGGTCAACTGAGAAGCCCCACTCGCGTTAGGTGGCGCTTCATTGGTGAAGTAGTATACAGGGTGACTTAGAGGGTGTCGTCCCTTATGGACTTCGTACACTCGTAAAGGTGTGATGAATGAGTCTGAAACACCCTGTACACACGAACCCATTTTCAATGACTCAATTGGTAACTGCGTTTTCCTCAGTATTAACCGATTGTTGAAATTTTCACAAGCATTTTGTTTATAACTTATGACTGTGCCTGAGAGATTTTTTTTTCAATTATTTCAAACATGTCAAAAAAATCGAGTGAACTCTCAAAAAGCGGACTTTATCGCCGACATTCAAAAATAAAAGCGTTGAAAGCCTCAAATTCATTGAAAAAATTTGTTGACGTTTCTAACAGCAACAATGTTGAAATACCAGTGAATGTAAATTGTGATGCTCGCGTACATCAATGTTCTCCAGAAACCTCTTCAAATATTCTAGAAAGGTACGTAAATTCAATTATAGCTGAAATGATATTATGCGATGGCACTTTAACGATGCAATGAATATTTTTTCATTTTAGACAAAGGTGAGGTTAGAAAAAAATCTTCTTTCTCTTTGAAAATAAATTTTTTCTCTTTAAAAAAATTAAAAAATAACCTTTCAACTTTTTATTGGAAAATTCATGAAATTCATAGGACATTAAATTCATGAAAATCATTAATTCCACCATTACATCACATTCGTAAAAAATGGGATGAACGATCCCGTATTTTCACCGTATTTTTCAAATTAAAAATTTTACCGAAAACATACGTCGTACTTCCATTACAAGACTAATTGAAATTTTGCAGCCCACTATCATGAACCGAGGATCCTAGTCTCAATTCAATGACGGAAGTTATGAGTATCAACGAAGCTGCTGCAACTAATCAAATATTTTCATATGAAGACATCATCGATTCTTCTGACGAAGATGAGCAGAGTGATGCAGGAGAAGTAGAGCAAAATGAAGATGACTCCCACTATTTTTTTGAAAATGACGCATATTATAATCTCAATGAAGACGAGGAAGAAACTTTAGGGTCTAGCGATGACGAGGATGAAGAGGGTGGAGATCCACGTTACAATCAGCCGATCTACAAAGGTGCTCCCATAAGTTTTGAAGAGAGTATGTTGCTATTATTAAGTCTGGTCTTGTCTCACAATATCACGGATTCATGCCTGGCAGATATTATAGCTATTATCAATTTTCATTGTCTCAAACAAGAGCTACAGAAGATGAGCCTATACTTTTTCAAAAAAAATTTCGGAATGACTAATAAGTGTTGGGAGAAGAAATTTTTCTACAAAAAATATTTTTCATCACTTCAAAATGGGACGGAAATTTGTAAGCAGTGTAAACGAAATGAAGGAACACGACATTTCATTAAATTTTCTATCACTGACCAGTTGCAAACAATTTTGAACAGAGAAGGTTACTTCCAACTATTGCATCGCTCTCATAACAACCTGCACAATGGAACCAAAGATTATTTAGAGGACCTGTATGATGGAAACTTATACCAGAATTACATGGACTATTTTGCTTCCCCAAACAATATATCACTGACATGGTGTACCGACGGAGTGCCTGTGTTCAAAAGTTCTCAAGCGAGTATCTGGCCATTTTATTTGCGAATCAATGAACTGCCCTACGAGAAACGAGTGCTTCGAGAAAATACGATACTGGCTGGACTATGGTTCGGGGCAGACAAACCATCCCCCAATATTTTCGTGGACTCATTCCATTCCTAGTTAAAGGAATTATATCATGGTATTGATA